TATTGATTCTTTTCAGAGATAACAATTGCTACAGCTTTGGTCTTTTTCCTTAGACTTTTTCCTAGGGTCTTATGTACTTATATCTGGGGTCAAGGAAAATCTAAACTATTGTTGTGTGCTTGTTTTTTTTTAATGTATATGATGCTACTGTATATCATTCTGCAACTTTTGTTTTTTATTCTATAGTACATTATGGCATTCTTTCCCATTTATTTTATATGGATTAACCTCACTTTAATCACTTTCAAATACATATTGAGCCATGATCTCAATCTTCTAAAAAGTTAGCATTTATTTTTGTGTTTCTCAAGGCCACAGAGATTTCTTCCACCATAACTCATATTAACTAAAATAACCTTTACATTGTATGTTCTTTCCTGAAAGATAGGCTTTAGGCTGCAGTGAAAAAGGATAATGGTCAACAATGTTTATTTAAACTACAACTTCTCCTGTAAAAGATTTAAAGCATTTTAATTCCCTTTATCATTATTTTGGTTGGTTATTACAGTCTCAGTCCATGGGTCATATACATTCTTTATATTTTAAAATACTTAAGTGTGCCAATGATTTTACAATTTAATTGTAGTCATTTTTTTTAAGGTCTGACTTCCCTGTATTTCTATTCTATACATGAATGTGATACATATTCTTGTTCTGCCTGCACAGACCTCTTTGCTGCCTTTAAGGAAATGTTCTGTGTCCTACTGAAGTTTGGATTGGGTGATTTAACTATTTTCGGGGTAAAGCCCATCTTTTCCCTTTGCCTTGTTTTCAGGTTACATAGTGTTCTGCCTCTTGCTCTAAGTTGCACATAATTATAACCCTGATGCCTATTTAATAGACCTGATAAGTTCTGGGTGAGATTACCTCCAAATTTTCAATGCCACATTTTGTGGAAATTTAAAGCCCACCGTGGGAGTACTATGAGTTCCCTAGATCTTCTATCTGCTTTGCCTTTATCCTGATTCTTTACCCAATTGTCCAATTATGCCTGGTCAACGTCTACTTTACTTTCAGTACTTTCTTTATATCACACATCCACATTCCAGTTATATAGTTATGTAATTATTTGGTTAATATCTGTCTGTTCCTCTAGGCTATGAGCCCTGTGAGGACCGTAGGAGATGCTCTCCACTGTACTACCAATTCCTGTCACATAGCAGACTCTGAAGAGGGACTCAAAATTTAAGGAAGGGATAATGGAAGAGGACTTAGGGCTTGAGATCAGAGCCCAAAAAGAGAAGTTAGCCTTGAAAAGAAAGAGATGGGGGTGGGAAGGAGAGAGAGAGGGAGAGATCATTTTTGAAGAAAAATTGGAAGAAAAAAATGGATGGAAAACGTGTTGAAGTAGAAGAGCAGAGGTTCATCAGGTGGTCTAATCTCAGTTTCCCCAGCATAATAGAAAGTATGTGGCTTGGGTTATATAAAATTGGATTAGTATCCTAAATCTTCTCTTTTAAGAGTATTACCAGACAAGTTATATAATTTTGCTCACCTTCAATTTTCACATTTATAAATTAATCATATGGTTCATAATAATTTAATAAGACAATGAAAGCAGTGTTGCATAATAGTTATAACATGGAACTGAAAATAGACATATTTGGACAGAATCTTGCTTCTACTACTTATTAGCTGAGTGATCTTATGGAAGTTACTTAGAGTCCTCAATTCTGAGAAATAGTATGAAGAAAAAAATGAGGAATCCAATTAACCAAAGAAGTTGCAAGATAGCTGAAAGAGATGAGAGTACAGATGATAACAACACAGAAGAACTTGTTTATGGCTAATTAGCCAGATTCAAATGCAGGCTAACTGCTCTCAGGAGTTACACCTGGTTTCTTAATCTTTGAACTATATTATTGCCTAAAATACAGTAATCAAATAGGAGATAATGGAGTTAGAACTCTTATTTTTTTGAAAAATAATTTTCTGTTAGCAATCAAAGTGTTAGGGAGGTAAGTGTACATTGAGCAGAACCTAGGAAAAGGGGAAATACACTCTGCGTTCAATAGAATAGGATCCTGAAAATAAAACATACTGTTGTTTGTCTTTCATGGAATTTAATGTCATGAAAACACACTGAAAAATGTTTCAGCACATTCCTACATTCCTGTACTAGTTCAGAAGAATAATTCTTTCCATTTTTTTAAAAAGATGAGCTTTATTTATTTTATAAATCACTTATTGAGGTAGGACTAATGTGAAAAGCTGGACATATTTAATGTACGCAACTAAATGACTTGGGGGACAAGCATACCCTCTGAAACCATCACCACTGTCAATGCCATAAACGTATCCATCACCTCCCAAAGTTTCCCCCATACCCATCATTTTCTTTATTATTATCATTAGTGTGGTAAGAATGCTTCACATAAACAAGACCCATCCTCTTAGTAAAATTTAGGTATGCAATACAGTACTGTTAGCTAGAGGTACTGTGCTGCGCACAGAGCGTCTGTTCCCTTTGACCATCACTTTCGTATTCCCCCTCCAACTCGCCCCTGAAAGCTACTGCTTTCTTCTTCTGCTTATGCGTTTGACTATTTTACATTCCACATATAATTGAAATGATACAATATTTGTTTTTATGATATGTCTCAAATTACAGGATTATTTTTAAGACCAAATAATATTCCATTGTATGTCTAAACCACATGTTCCTTATTCATCATTTGTCAATGGGTATTTAGATTTTCCCCCCATATTTTAGCTGTTGTGCATAATGCTGCTGTGAACACGGGAGTGCAGGCATCTGCCTGAGATCTCAGCTGTAATCCCAGGCTTCCATAAAGCTATTCTCATTCATGGGTCATGTGAAAATCAGTGTTTCTGTAGGGGCATGAGGTATAGATATTCTTATTTCATCATCTTGCTGAATTCCAGAAGAGACAGTTCTTTATTTCAGTAGGTCTCAAATATCCAAGGGTATTTCACAGACCATTCAATTTGTTTTTTAAAAATTTACCTTTTTAATGATTTGATGACAAGCTTAGTGAAAACTGATACAGAATGTGAATAGGGGGACAGTAGCCTAAGAGGAATCAAGAGGCCTGTGTGTGGGTATCAGGTGTCAGAGCGTGCCACGGTTTGTGTTCAGATGAGCCTGAGAAATCTGAGGAGTCTTAAATGTCAAACATGTAAAAATCCAAAGGCTAGGATGGTTTGAGGAATGGCCCCATAGAGCAGGAAATGGAATGACTTAATCATATAATAGAGGCTATTTTCTGACATAAAATCACATCCCAAAATTATCAATTTTTTCTTGCAATTCTTATAGATAAACAGATTTGAAATTTAATTTATTTTTGTATCATCACACTGCTGGAGACAGATTAACTGTTCCTACCACATCTTCTGATTTCATTAGAGCAATCAAAGAACAGTTGTGTTGTCTACAGTGTCTCTTTTTAGTGATGTTATAACATTGGAAGGACATTGGCAAAGAGGTTCTAATTGGTTTAATTATTGTTATGAAACATTGGAGTGGAATGTTTGTGGCAACTGAAATAAGGGAGTAGATTTAAATGTAAATGAATCCTTGACTGATGGACAAGCCCATGGTTGGGATTATTGTGTCATCAAAAAATTATCATTGGATAACAAAAATATTATATTTAGCATTTATAAAATTAATTTCATTTTTTCCATATGAAATAGAGTTTATATTTTGTATTAGATAATATCTGAACTTTACTTAGTACTAATTTTTTCTAATTGTTTTAAGAGTATTTGTTTCTGTAATAATTTTCTCTTACTAGCTTGTTCCTGGAGTTATAGCTTTTAAAATTTTATCCTGGTTACTTTTGATCCCCAAGTATTTATTGTAATGTAATATAATGCAAAGATCAGTTTAAGATTTTATATACACACATATACATAGGCCCCTCTCTCTATACGTGTTATATAAAATTTAATTATGAGGTTACACACTCTAAAGATCAATAATTTTCAGTGTGTGTTTGTGTGTATATATAGATTTACACATGTACACACACTTGAAGGTTATTAAATGATTTCATTTTATGTTAGTGATTGATTATTCACAGAGCTTTCATTCGATACTAACTCTCTAATTGCCACATTATGCCTTTTAAACCTTGGAAAAGCTTCATCTCTTGAGGTATTTTAATAAAGAACCATTAGACCCTCATACTTTTCATCTTTTCTTCAGAGAATATAGATTATTTTGACTTCTATTGCTTGGAGACATATCTAATGGAAACCTTAAAAATACCATGTCAGTTTTCAATAGTGGGAAATAGCTGGGAGTTATAATAGATCAACAGAAAGATGGAGTTTTACTTTTTCAATGAATAATTACATTTCAAAACTCTTTTAGATATGTTAAAGTTAATTAGAGTGTATGATTTACAGTAAGGTGTAATGAAATGAATATTGAATTAGATATTATTAGGCCTGGATACTTGTCTGAACTTTACCATTATTTGTTCAGTGACCTTGGGTAAAACAGACTCAGTCTCACTCATCATTAATTCAGGTATGTGATTAACAATATCTTTGCTGCCCACCTCTTTATAGTGTTGTCAGGATTTGATTACATATGTGAAAATATTATGTCAACAATGAAATTCTCTATAAGGGTGAATGTTATAAATAATAACGTGCAATGCACTGTATTAAGCATTCATATTGTTCTTACAACAGTTTTATGAGACAAGCAACATTAATACTTTACAAATCAGGAAGGTGAGGTTCTCAGTACAGAAGACACCTGAGTTAGCTCACCACTATCAATGAGAGGGAAAGGCAAGATTTGAATAGAGGTCTGTCTGAATCTAGAACTGATGATCATATAGTACAATTTTTGTCACTCACCTGAATAATAATTGCTAGGTAGAATTACAGATGAACTAGGTGAGGTAGTAAAAGTGCGATTTTCTTATCCGCATTCTAAACATGAAAACAAAATAGTATTTATTTTTCTTTAAAATTGGGTGCCTTTAAGTTCTAACCATCCAAATGTGTTTTTTCTTTAGAATTTGATTGTCTTGGATCCACTCACAGTGACTGAGGAGGAAATAAGACCATCACTAGAGCAACGTCTTGAAGCCATTATCAGTGGGGCTGCTCTGCTGGCTGACTCTTCTTGCACGAGGGATTTCCACCGGGAGCGGATCATCGCAGAATGCAACGCCATTCGCCAGGCTCTGCAGGACCTGCTTTCAGAGTACATGAACAACGTGAGTAACTGGTTTACCCCCTTCTACACATTGGGCATGTGCTCAGTTTCTTTTTGTGTACAAAATGTGATAAATTATAAATGAGTACATGATTTTACATGGATTGGCTTTCTGAGTGGGTTCTTCTCACATTGCTCACAGGGTACAGCAGTGAGAGAAGTTTCTAGGAATGGAATTTAACCAGAAGGTTGTTTCCATATGATTGCTTGGTTTGAGACAGTATCTAAATACTAGTTGTACAAGGAAGTCAGGGTCAGGATGGGAGAAAGGAAACTAGACTTGCACATCAATTTAAAACATAAAAAGATCAAGAAAAGGGCAGGGTTCTCAGGCTGAAGTTGATGAATATCAAAGTTAGAATTTAGATAGTGTTGGATAAAGTCAATGCTGCAGGGATCAGGGACATTTTTGAAGGTATAAAGAACTAATGTAGTTCAGATGGCTCTTAACCTTTTCAAGTGTGACATACTACCATAGAGCTTTGGCAGTTTTAGCTACCTTTTAGGAATATTAGCAATGCTATTAAATTTAGATAAATATTCGTATAAGAAATATTCATTTCACATGTATATTAACATCCATCTGTGGAGGATTTATTCCTACTCTTACACCCAAATCTTAGTGCCATTTTCAAAATGAAGGAAGTCTTGAAGACATTGTCAACTATATATTAATCACGAAGGCTTTTCAAATAATAGCATTCAACAAAACAGGTTTATAATAAGAATGTTTTGTTGATGTGCCTTACTATAAATGGAATAATTCAAGTCTTATGAAAGTATGTTTTTAAACATTAGTTTCAAAGCATATAAGTTTTGGGGCATGAAACTGAAGAATTAGGATTGTTCCATATGAGAATTTATGTGAATAATTGATGTGCTAAATTAGTGAGTTTTAAGGACTTTTCAATACCTTTACTGTATCTCCATATTCTTAATATTTGATGACTTTGGCTCCTGACCAACAATGTCTTGCATGTCAAGGAATCAAAGTTGTAAAGTAGATTTTGTTAATAAGAAGATTTTAGTAATGTTATGTCCTGCTTCTAAGGTAGAATAAACCCATTTTTAGCATATAGTGTGTTATTACTTAAAATTTCTAATAGTGTGAACAATAAACAAACATAAAGTTGAAAAAGGACATTTTAAGGGAATGCACCCACTAAAAAAACCTCAGAAGATAATATTGTATTGGAATTCCTTCTCTCCTGATCTGTGGACTATTAAATTATTATATTCACCTTTATAGATAAAAATAATAAAGTTACATGTAAGTTTATCTTGTCTATAAATTATGAAATTATACATAAATTTAATCGAAATTACACCGAATATAAAGTTATTTTATTCTTTTAGATACAAACACAAATGGATGTGCATGCCCACACTCACACACATACCTAGGCAAGGGTGGCTACATAATTGTGCAAAATGAAAATGCAAAGCCCGTTGTTCAAGGGGAGGGGAAAAAAACAGCTTTTCCTTTATTCAGTCTCCATTGACCCGAGAAAGGTTATTTTTATTTGCTATTTAATGTTAAGTTCTTTAGAATATAAAGATACTTGTGGGAGCATCCAGGTACTCACAGGTGTCTGTGTCCCTGACCCATGACCCTAACCCACACTGCCTTGTGCCAAGGACACTACCGGGAGCAAAGGGTGGTAACAATCACTGGGTGCAGGAACAGGTTGCTGAGGATCTGTCCCTGGAAAGGACTGGGAAGCCAGGACACCTGTTAGTCTAGGTTATTTGCTTCATTAGGACCCATAGGACTTCACTATATAAGTCCTATATAACACAAATTCAAAGGTAAAGTCATTAAGAATGTCAAGACTGTGGTAGCAGAGCATTTAAAACAAAGGGTAGGCCTTTTGGAACACAGAGTTCTGTGTGCAGTCACAGGCCCTTGGGGCTGGTCCTGTGTGTAAAAATATATATCACATAAAAATAGTGGTGTTTTTATGGCTTTCTTCCACTTGGGCTTAAAAACTGTTCGGGTTAAAAACTACTCATACCAAGGGTGAAGTTATGGGAGCATTCTGCCCTGGTTGCAATCATTAAGGAAGCACACTGTTTCTGGAAATTTATAAATGGCAATAAAACCAACTAAAAGCTGGTCTCCTTTGTATTATCACCATGCACCACCAATTCTAAATGTCATTGATAAAATGTTTTTCACAAAATTGTTTTGTGTCTCTAAGTTCTAAGCAATTGCTGTGGTTACTATTGTTTTAATAATATGTGCACATGATTCAAATGAGCACATTTATGGTTATCCTTTAATAAGTGTTATAGTTTTTGTATATTAAAATAGCATATTCAAAATAAAGTGATGACAGAGTAATTGGAAAGACAAAGAACTAGAAATAGAGTTACTTCAATTTTGTTATTTTATGTGATCACTTAGAGACTTTTTTAAGTAAAAAATTAAGTTCATAATGAAAGTGAATTGTGAGGGGTAATAATTTTGTTGTGAAAATTTCATACATGGAATATTTCATTGAATTTGATTACTAATGAATTTGATTAATAACTTTGAAATTTATTCTCTTTTTGAAAATCATCTATCACTTTAAAGTTAAAGAACAGATCAGGAAAATAATGATTATGACTGATTATTACTGAAATGTAATTTTGTTATATAGAAGAGAGAGATGTTTGAAAAGTATCTACTCCAGGTATCAAATATGCTAAGTAAGACACTGAAAAGATATTTGTACTTTTCTATGTCTTATTGCTCTTTTACTTAATGAGGATTTAACCTGATGTTCAGTTTGAAGGACCACGGGTCAAGTACACAAAACTTATTTATGTTATTAATATACTTCTGTTGGACATTTTAATTTTAAAACAAGTTAAGTTCTGTGTTCGAAGAGTGAAGTGTAAAGAGACTTTTCTTATTTATAATATCTAACTAATTGAGACAAAAGGTAAGTTGCTTTTTTTTTAGCCTGTCAGATGATTATCTTAATTTTAACTTTTTAAGGTAGACTTAGTTGTAGGAATCCAAATATTTCTTGGTCATTAAATTGATTGATGCATTATTATTTATATTTAATGGAGGTCGTTTTCTTCTTTCTTCCTCCTTCCTCCATGTTTTCTCTTCTTCCCCTTCTGGCGAAGGAGTGCAGACACCCCCTGCAATACCTCTCTTTCATGGCATATCCCCCTTTAGAGCTGTCATCCCAGATGGAATTTTTCTGTTCCTTGTCTGCCTCCTCCACTAGATAGGCAGGTTAGGAGAGTGGAGACTGTGTTTCTGGTCCTTCGCGCGGAGACTTTCAGGTAGCAGGGGCTCAACAATTGTTATCTGGGTGCAGGTAAATTGAATTTTAGTATTTGGTTCTTCTCAGTCTTTTAAATTAAAATGACAATGTGCCTGAAGCAATTAATTTGAAATTATTTATTATATTTATATGGTAACTGTGGAGAAAAGATGGAGGGAGGGTTAATGGTGAGAACAGGAATAGGGTAAAGAAAGAGCACAGAGGCAGAAGGCTTGCGCTTTGAGTGATCTAGGGATATTCATGTATTCCTTTCTTCTAGGCATAATGTTAAATACTTGTCGAGGAAGGCAATTTTTATTTTTTAAGAAACGAAAGATAGTGTGTGTGAGTAATGTATGGCGGTGATATGGTGTGATGTTGGTGAAGAAGTCAGGGTGGGAGGACCTAAATTTATATGATGTTGGTCCACATGATCAGAAGCCCATCTATTTACACATCATGGTAACATTTTATTGATGAGTACAACCTAGTAATAATAAAAAATGTGAACTTACAGTATTATGAAATAGCACTCCAGAACTAGTATAATAGTTTACTTTCATATACAATGCAGAATTTTAGCCCTGAATTTTAGGCCTATCGCTAAAGTCTGATTGAGCCAATGAATATGGGAATTAAAAGCAGGAACCAATATGGAAAACTGAGGTAAATTATCAGAACATATTTCCAGGTTTATTTTTACTCTTGGTTTATATCACAAATAATGCTTTTCTATAGCTGTTTTATCATCTTTTATGAAAGGGAATATATTTTCCTGGAACTATCTGAATTCAAACCTTTTTCAGTTTGCTCAAAGGTTTTAGGACAGCTCTTGTACTGAAGTCCTCAACTTTCTAACTGGAAGACTAGTGTGTCTCTTTTGTTGGACCTGGTTTGCCTTCCCAATAAATTAGTAGCTTTTGTAATTGAGCTATATTGATAAATACTTGATGATAATTCAGATAAAATAAACATAATCATGAAAACATAAGAGTAATACTCATCAAAGTCTGTAGATCTCTTATGTGACTGTTGCTTCAAGGTTTTAAATTTTGTAGCCTATTGAGTCCAGAGAAGTGAGAAATAAATGCAGTTTATGTTTTTTTCAGGCTCAGTTCACATGACCAGTTTGAGTCTAAATTACTTTATTTCCTTAAATAGATCAGTAAGTCTCCATCACTTTTTTTCACTGAAGTTGTATGATCAGTAATTTCATTGTCTTGTCTCATTGGTTAGAAATTAGTAGGAAATGAGATCAGATGGGTCTATAACAGATAAAACAGACAACAACTTAACACTATTTATGATTATGTATGTTTGCCCTAATATTTTTCTTTTAAATTTGTGTATATGTATGTATATGTTATATATATATATATAATATGTATAATATATGTAATGAAGTCTTCTACTGCTACTGTAAAAACCTTTGTGGCTTAAATAGTGCAAGTATCTTCCAGGTTTGTTGGTCAGGAGTCTGACGCAAGTCTCGCTGGGTTACAGTGGAAGTGTCAGCAGGGCTGCATTCTTTTCTGAGGCTGTAGGGAAGAACCCGTTTCTTTGCCTCTTCCAGCTGCCTTGCAGAGGCCACCTGCATTCCTTGGCTCATGGCCCTCTTCCTCCACTCAAAGCCAGCTACGTCACATTTCTCTGACCCTGCTTCTGTCCTCACCTCTCTCTCTCTCTGACTGCAGCCAGGAAATGTTTCTACTTTTTGGGACTCATATAATTCTTA